AGGCGCAGGCTCTAGGCCTAGCGGAAAGGCTTGGCAACATTATGTGACACTTTCCTCTGCCAGACTGTTGTGAGCTGTGGGAGACTGGCATGAGCAATGCCGTAACACCAGGGAGCGGGTATAGGTTTGTTTTGCCCTGGAGGCGTGGGCCGGGCCGCAGGCTGCGGGACGCGGGCTGCTTGACACGGGACGCGGGCCGTGAAACACGACGCGGGAGCGCGGGGACGCGAGAGCGCGGGGACGCGGGGACGGCCGCGGGACGGGCGGCACGGACTGCCCTAAACCCTTAAAGACGCTGAACCCTTAAAAACCCTAAACACCCTCAACCATAGAAAACCTGAACTCCTCTAGATATCCTAAAAAAAACCAAACCCTCCTCAAAAGCCCCTAGACACACTAGACCCTAGAAGTCCCTCAAAACCCTCGTTTCCAAAAACCCTAAACCCTAAAAAACCTCAACACCCCTAACCCTAAAACCGTAAACCCTAGACACCCTAAACCCCAAAACCCCCTCACCCTGAAACCCAAAACTGCCTGAACCCTATAAACCCTTATAACACCCTGAACCCTAAAAGCACTAAACCCCCAAAAACCCTAAACACCTTCAACCCTATAGATACACTAAAAATAACCCTAACCCCTGAATGCCTTCAGCCCCTAAACACGCACTAGAAGACCTAAACCCTAAAAACCTAAAACCCCTAAACACCCTGGACCCATCTGGACCCTAACTAAAAGCCCCAGAAGCCCCAAACCCTAAAAACCCTAAATCCAAAAAAACATGAAATCCAAAAAATACTAGGCCCTCACCACCCTGAACACCCCTAAGCCCCAAAAGAATAAAACCCAAAAACCCGAAACACCGTAAACCCTAATAACCCTTCACTCTGAAAACCCTAAACCCACAAACCCCTTATTATAATACCCCAAGCCCTAAAAAGCCTAATCCCTCAAAACCCTAAACACCCTAAACCCTAAAGACCCTAAACTTATTTAAAAAAAAAAAAAAGATTTCAGGAAAAATGCAGAAACCTCGGGGTCTGGGCGCCCTATAATCCTAAACACATTATCCGTAGCTGCAGGCGTCGGACTGCTAGGCCGCGGAAGCGCGCAGCCGCGTGAAAATTCTACTATTATGCAGGGAGCCCCTGGCCCCGAGCCATAGCTCCCTCAACCCTGACGTGAGGATCTGGGTGCTCGAGGTGTTCGAGGTGCTCGAGGTGCTCGAAGTGCTCGAAGCACAGCAGCAAAGTCAGACACCAAACTTGCCATAATGATTAGCCACTGAGCACACCATGAGCAGAAGTACACACAGAAACTGTCGGGGCTGAACGCTTGGAAGGTGGGCAACGACAGCCACAGCAGCGCATCAACGTACAGGAACACTTCACACGACTTCGCAAAAGCTTTTGTGAATTTGGGGTGCACGGGGTGCGCGTGAGGTCCACCAATACTCAATGACTTTGAGCATCTGTGAGCGGAAAGTCAAGGAAGCTGCCAACAAACGCGGTGCAAACCCGAAATCATTTGAGCTCAGTGCCGCTTGACGTACAAGTTGAGGTTCTTGCCTCAGTGCTACGTGGTGCTGCATCTCAAAAGCTTGCTGCACATGGTGCCAGATGGGCGCTGGGGCCCGCCACTGTGCGGCACGCCGATGATTCTGGTGCGGCTCAGCTCCTGCTTGATGGTGATCCAGGACAGCCCAGGATCATGACTTGTGCGGAAACTGCGGGAACAGCCCACGCAGCAAGACCACAAGCCGCCCCTCGGCCGCTCTTGCATGCTGTAGGAACCGCCAAGTTCCAGAAAGCACATTTGCGAGCTGCAGCAAAAGTCTGTGGGGCAAGTGTGCAGTACTTGTAGCAGGGGAAGCTCTCCTCCTCCGTGAAAGCAGTGGCCAAGGTTGCAGCCCACGAAAGGTCCTGCAGCAACTGGTGCTGCAGATTTTTTCCACCCTGGGTGTCAAAGCGTTCCTTGGGGCCAGCAACGATTACCTCAAGCACGTTTCACTGCGGAGACTTGAAAATTCTGTCAAAAACCCCGCAATGTCTCAGCCAGGCACCAAAGCATCAAGGCCTCAGCCAACATGGATTTGCTTGGTGGGTGATTTTATCCAAGGAGACATACCGAAGGCAGAAAAGGCCCAAGTCCAGCACGCAACTCGTTGCAAACCTCCGCCGCTAACTGGGCTTCCTGCAAGCCGTTGACACTCTTGCAGGGCTATTGAGGCCGGAGGTGCGCTTGAGACTACTTCGGTTCCCTTCAGCTAAGAAGCCCTACAAATGCAGGCCTCCATCCGGTTTTCTTTCGAGTAGCTGCCGTCTCTGCAACTGCCGTGGCCCAGCCTCAATCGGGCAAAGCAAGAAGACAGCGCGCCCCGCTCAGGAAGGTACGAGTAAGGAGCAAGCAGCCGCCAGGATCCCTGGTTCATGTCCCTCTTTACCTCCACACAGCGTTCTCGTACACAAGTTAGGGCAGCTTATTCCAGGGACCTGATTCTCGTTGATTTCCTTGAACTTGCCCTCGAGAAAACCGCGGGGACCTGGCAGGCAGCCAAAGCCGCCACATGCCACAACATGTCACGACGAAGCCTCTACCTCCGATTACACTTTGCCGGCGCACCGTTTACAAAGCCGACCAGTCTTGCACCAGGCGAAATAGCCTTCGAGACTATCATGTTTTGTGCGCCCCTGGCAGTCGTCCACAAATTTTCACTTGGCCTTGAGTCCGCGATATAGGCCTGCTATAACCTGGCTGCCATGATTGGCAACTCCAGACCAATAGTCGCAACGTCACATGGCCAAAGACTCTGTGCGCGCGGCATTTGTGGGATAAGATGGCAAGCACGACCTGAACTCTTGCCAGGCAACATATGTCTTGACAGGCAGTCTTGCTCAGGCCAAGGCTGCTCACCAGCCAAAATGATGCCAACTCGCAGCGGCCGTGGCCTATAGGTTTGCTTCAAGCATGTAGCACTTCATCTCAAAATTCCTTTGAGATATCAACACCTGAGGCAGCGACTTTGACGGTGCACCTGTACGTCAACATTGGTGTCAGAGACTTCCCAGGATCTCTGTGACTCTATGAGGCAGGCGCTGCCAGAGGCCGGTTTGCTGTCTGGTGGGGCATCGCCTTCAGTCGGGCATGCTGGGCATGCTGACTTGCATTCTTCGCATCTCTTCAATCAAACCTGAACCTCTCCGTCGAAGCATCAGCGGCTTCAGGCTGCTGAACCTGGAAGATGCGGCATGGACTCCATACAGACCACAAGCACTGCATTACGTTTGAAAGGTGCTCAGCTTGGAGCGAAGGAAAAACATCAGAGTGTTGCACAGGATCAAGGTCTTCGACAAACCTCATTGGAGAAGCTGGTGCGAAAGATGTAATGATTTGATACATTTTGATACGATAGGTCCGGCATGAAATCCTCAGGTCTCGGCTCTGGAGGCTTTTCGAGATTTGTCAGCAGTTCTGGCCTGACATGCTGTACAGATCTGTACAGCTTGTTCGCGTGAAGCAAGTTACAAAACAGGGCCCCCGGCAATGGTGGAACTACTTGCGCACGCATGTCCTGCAAGCAAAATACGCCAACGAGAAGCTGGAGCTTGCACCCGGCATGTCTCCCCACCCTTTCCAAACCCCCCCACCCCTTACCCCACGCCCCACCTCCACGACCCCACTCCCGTGCATAATAGGGACTTGACTTGACATTCCGGCTCCAACTTCTCATCATCTATGTACTCGCTCTTCCGACACATGGAAACCGTCGAGGCGGCACTCGCGTAAAGTCTAAACACGGCTAAATATTGGCTAAATTACTCAGCACTTGACCTTGCAGACACAAACGATTGCCATAAAAGTCCCCGCTTCAACAGCCTTTGCAATTTCCCAGCTGAAAACCATGCCCAACGAAAACCAACGACCAACTTCATGACACTATACTGCAGTGCAGAAACCGAATCAGCCTTGCGGGAAACTTATCATTGACCCTGCTTTCGCATCTGGGCTCGCACATGCTCCCCCTTGATAGTTATCTTGGGCATCACGCCCAGCGTATGATCCTCTCGACTGATGCTCTCTCTGCTTTGCCTTCACCCCACGGCCTTGACCCCTTCCATGGACCGGCCCATGGCTGTCCATGCTGGTCCGGACGCGGCAGCACGCACCTGCTACAGAATGCATTTTTCTAACACCTGCAATGTGACCACCTCACTGTCAAGCCGAGCTGTTGGCATTGGATGACTCCATTTTGAAGGCGGCGGCAGTGATGAATTTCCATAAGCACACACACTGTACACTAGTCACTAGTTTCTGCACTCGTGCAGTACTGGAACTTGGAAACCAACTAACGAATCTAAGGACTTGACCTATCTGGCATGTTTGGAAGCTGTTTTCTGCTTCACGCAATCACCCTCCCACTATCCCACTTGAACATCCTTGCTCGGCCCGCGTCTAAAAATGCGTTCGTTGCAAACGTGCCTCACACAAGCACACTTCAGCAACAATCCGTGGCAATTACCGGGTTTGCCATGAATCGCCGCGATACAAGGCTACGTTAGATTGAACGAATGGTGGTTGCAGTGGTGCAACCCGTGAAACATGGCATGCCGCTTGTGAACTGGAAACCATCAAAAGGAATTGCTGATGCTGTTCTTAATATCTTAACATATCTTGACTGAACATGTTGTCATCTGAAATTGGTCTGCGGCAAGCTGGTGGAATTATGAAGCATGTGAAAAGCGTTCCCCAATGCCAGCTGTATGGATTTGCATCAGCGGCATTTCGGAGCTGTAGATTTGCACGTGAATGGCAAAGCATTGTCCTAACAAGGTTTGCCGGTTTCGGAGCTTTCGGGGTAGATGCTGGAAACACCAGTCCAGCTGAGCGTTCGCAACCCAAAAGCCTTAGCACCCGATGCATTGATTCAACGGGACTCTGTCACTTCAGACTCCAGACGTGTCAGGCATGTGCTTGGCCTGCCGTCCAAGGTCCCCGCGCACTCACTCTCCTTGCATGCCTCTGCTTTCCCTGAACCGGATTGGCTTCACAGCCTCCAAGGCGCACTCAAGGGAACTGCCAAGCACATCTCAGCTCAACCACGGAGGGTGGCCTTGGTCGGAGCTGGAAATTTCTGACGCACGCCGTTCTCAAACACTAAGGGATGATACCTCATAATATGTGCACGGGCAAGATGTTTGCCAGCACAATCAATGCCAGACTGAACCTACACGACCTCCAAGCTCAAAATTGCTGAAGCAGAATCACTTACAACTGCGCAACGCGAATCGATTGGATCCTTCAAAATGCAACTGCGTGCCGCGGTGCTTTTCCTCCATGCTCATGACAGGGCTGTTGCGGTAATACTCCACGTTCGCTAACCTGCTACACCACGATTACAGGGTCCAAGCAACACAAATGAGATTCATCGATGTTTCTGGTGAGATTTGCTTGCCAACGCCAGCCGAATCAGCGCATGTGGCATTGCCATGCGTTGCCTGCCCTGCGTCGTGGCAGGGGCAACTGCGCAAATCTTCTTGCTGCGGTCGCCGGCCAGGGCCAGTCCCTGAACATGGGTGGCTATATTTCCATCACACAACACGGAGTATGCCTGACAGGCTGCCTGGTACACCGAACGGAAATGCTCGGCAAACACTGGGGACACAAAGTTCACAAACGCGTACCTGACCGCAACAACAATGATAACAACGACACTTGTGAACCATATGTGGCACTGCAATACTTAAATCGAATTGTAAAAGGGAAGGGGCTGAAGTATGCTCATCATGCCCCAGCGTTCTGGTGAACAGTAATCCAGACAAGAGTGGCTTGATTGCGCCAAAGCCATTCGGCGATGCGATTTTTGCAATGCACGCAATACCACTCCTACTGCAAGGCGACGAGCCCATGTCTCATACTACCCAAGAGGAGGACATGCTTTGATCTGGCAACTCAAGTGAGCAAATATTTTCTCAGATTCATGTTCACGGTTTGACGTTTGCGTTGCCGATAAATCACAGTATCTCAAATCTCACCATCACCTGCTTGCAACATTTTTTTGGCGGACCTTTTCTCACTGCCGTGGTCGCGCGCGGTCCCGTTTTAAGGCCGGTCAGTCAGTCAGTCAGTCAGTCAGTCAGTCAGTCAGTCAGTCAGTCAGTCAGTCAGTCAGTGCAGCGGGGGCCGGCTGGCAGAGTCGGCAGGTGCAAGTGCCAGAACCTCGTCCAAGGCTGGCACCGGACTCTGCGCTAACCCGTGCACAGCACGTGCTCGGCCTATGGCCAGTCGCCTGCTGCACTGCCGTGGAAAGCACACTCCACCATGGTCTCGCCCAGGCTGCTTGGGCGGGGCCGCGCACGGCCGGTGGGGCCCGGCAGGAGCGCAGCGCGACCAGGCGCCGCAGAAGCGACATTGCTGAGGCGTTCCACCGTCCGCCAATTTCACATCCGAGCACGCAAAGGGACTGAGCGCCCCCCGCGGGCGAGCTCGGGGTAGGTGGCTCGTTCGCGACGCTCTGCAGTTGCAACACGGCACAGGGGGGTACCATCTCGACGAAGCGGCAACACCAGCGTGGCATCGCAACAGATGGCCCCTCCCAGCGGCGTCGCCCCATAAATCACAAGGTTGAGCCGACGGCAGTCATCTGAAGCGACGCCAAGCGCGGTGGCTGGGGCCCCACATGCCCTTCCGGACCAATGGTTTCACGGGTGACGGCACCGCGCCCTCTCGACGACTTTTCCTCGTCGGCTGAGTAGGCCCGTGCGAGGGCACGCCAAGGGGTGGTCAACAAGTGCGTCCGAACGCTGCCCGCAGCCAGGCGCGCCGCGGTCACCACAGGTGGCCGGTGCCGGAGACGTAGCCTGCGGCAGAATGCTATTTGCATGACGTCCAGGGCGAGCGACGTGTGAGGGTCACTCGGGATGGCCATCAACCAAGCACCCGCATGCGGGCCCGCTTGCGAGCGCAGCGTCGCACGGGAGGCCTGAGGCATTGAGGGCAACAGCACGTGGTCGCGGAAGAAAAGGGTTGCGAGTACGCGACGCACGGCGCTGCCATCCATGTCTCCATTCGCCAAGCTCGATGTCTGCGTCATCCTCAGCGCGCGGTGCAGCCCCGCGCGCGAGCTCGTCCCAGGCGGGGGCCCCGCTCCAAACAAGCAGCGGCGTGCTCACCGGACAGGGCTCGCACTGTCCATGCGGCAAAGGCGGGGTTGCATGCGGCGAGGACAGGGAGCGCATCAGCCCAAGCTGCCCAGTAAGCCGCAGGGGCAGTGCGAACCGTTTGGGCGAGGCCCAGCCCCCCAAGGAGGCGAGATGTTTCGCGCAGGGCAGGCAGCGTCCTCCGCAGGCTCGCCCAAGCATGCTTGGGTGGTGCCCCATACAGCCGCATCATGCGCCGCGGCATAGCCCCCGCTTAAAGTTGGGATGTGTTGGGGGGATCGTGCGGAGCGCATGGTTGGCACGGCAGGCACATTGCAGGTCGGGCATTTGCGGCAGCAGCGGAGCAGCGGTGCGGTTACGCGCGCAATGACCCGTGGATACCTCAAGCTCCAGGTCGCAAATCTCACAAGGAACATGGACGTGATTTTCCTTGAGCGGGTGGTGCGCACAACCATGGCGTTGCTCCGGCACGTCCTCGTGAGCGCAAGCTGTTCGGCCTCGGTGTCATGTGCAAGATGCCCCAAACACATACAGGGCGGAGAGTGTGCAGGTCCTGCTTCTGACATTAGCAAACATTGTTTGCTGCGGCAGCCCTTGCGCACATCGAAATGTGACAAGGCTGCACCGCGCATACCTAAGCATGCTGCACAGTTATTTCCTATGCACCCCTCCGCCGTCGCGCCCAAGCTGGGGTTGCTGCGCAGCGGAGAGACGGCGGTTCTGTTCTGGGCACGGAGACGGACGAGGTCGCGCAGGTCATGCTGCGCTGTGCGCACCCGTGACATCGAAGCTCAGGGCCCGAAACGCTTGGCTGACATCTGCCCGTTGCGGAGACCAGGAAAACGGATCTCCTGAATCTTCGAGCATGGGCAAGCACCACTGATAGTGCCATCACCTATCAGCCTGGATCTTTTCCCAAGCACGAAAATGCCAAGCTTCCTGCTGGCCACTAGATTGCCCTCGCGAACTTTCGCGGTAAGCACGCTGCCTGCCGCCTGGAATGACCTGCAGCTGCATTTTTGTCAAGGAGCTACCAAGTCAGTGACTCATCAGTATGAGCCCTTCCCATCTCTTTCACAAGGTGTCAGATGTACGGAACTGTCAATTTCATCAATTTTGCCGGCCCAAGTACCGCTCGCTGGAATGGGTTCCACAACACCCGTCGAAATTCCTTCAGAAAACAAGCCTGAAAACACAGCATCCGGGTCACTTGTAATCAACGCATTGGACTTCCAAACTTCAGGCGAGAAAGGTTGATGCGCCCGTAATGTGCCAGAGCAGCCATGATCTGAACAGAACACACAAGCTCATTTTTTTTTGCGCGCGCCTTCTTGCAACCAGTTCTTAGCGGCCCCAGGGCTTCCCGGTGCAAGAGGCTGTCTTCATCCATGTTAAGGACATGCATGCTGCACTCTTCGAAGCAACTGCGACACGCTTCCCGGCAGGTAAAAGAAAGGCGCCTTAGTAAACATCTTTGTCATCCCCAACAATTTTCTTACCTCTCACCACATGAGGAAGGGAAATTGAATCAACCGTTTTTTTCTCTTGGGGTTATCTTCGGAGTGTGCACGTGCTTGCTATGCGGCCCAGACTTCACTGATCACCAAGAGGTGCTAGAAGGATCTGCTACGTTGGGTCTTTGTTAAAGCGGGGCCCCAGTGCAGAAGACTCAGACGTCGACGCAAGCTACGCAGCCGCAGACGTCATGCCGAGAGCCGTTGAAGTAACTAGTAAACCAAGAGGCCGCGCGCAAGCTTCAGCAAAACTTGAAGAAGTCAATTGCAACCCTCACAGTGTCCGAGGAATGCAAGCAAGGACTCACAGACTTGTCGGAAATGGACTTCATCGCAACCAGAATGCTAGCGGGGCCCCAGCCGGCTTGCGGGGACGCTGAGCCGCCAGCGGTCGTCAGCAAGCACATATGAATTCATTTGTCCAAGCACTCCCGCTGCAAGCCCCATGTCCTACACGCAACCTAATCAAACCTTTTTTGGACCTTTTTTCTTGCAAACGGATGAGCCGTGGTCAAGCTCAACGCAAACTTCGCGCCTTTGAATGAGATTGCGATCTGGGTGTCGGCCTTTTCGGCCTGCACGATGGTATGTCCAGTCGGTTCCAGGGCCCCAGCTTTGTCCCGCTGTCTATGGCCGCTTCATGAGCGGGCGGGCAGGCGGCTGGCCGGCACATGGAAGGTGTGGCGCGCGTCCGCCAGCACGTCTGCCAGGGGCGGTTCCGTGCCATCGCACTCGTCCGCTATATCCAGAGGCAGATCCAAGAGAGACCATGCCAAGGCCCGCTGCGCGGCCACCACCAACATGCCCGCCCGGAGGCGGGGCGGCGCTGCGCGCGCCTTTGAAGCAGCCATGCGGCGGAGGAAGTCCGCCAACTCGGCGCCAAAACGGCCACCCACCTCAACACGACCAGCCTGCAGCGACGAGCCGCCAAGAGCTCAGGGTAAGTGGTTTGGTGCTTACGCCGCCCGGCGTCCGCTGCGGCCCTTGCCAGGGACACGGTCAGCGCCAGCGCATGCGGACCCGTCCCCTGAGACAGGGTTGACGAGAGTCGTGTCGTCTGCGGAGGTTTTCTGGTGCAACACCTGGAAAAATTCGCTCCAGGCCAAGCGATTGGCTTCTTCAGCTTCCTTCACGCATGGCACGCGGTGGCCATCTGCAAGGCTCCCAAAAAAAAATTAGACCCCGATTATCCCGAAAGCATTCAGTTCCCCGTTAGCAAGGGACGCGTATCTGGTAATGTTCTAAGCGCCTCGGTCGTGGTGCGGTGGGGTTGCGGTGGCGCGCGTGCGCGGTGTAGGTTGTGCGGTGTATGTGAGTGGCGTTGATGCGGCGCCGCGCGCGCGCAGGTGCTGTGATGGTTGATGATGGTTGTAGCATGTAAGCTTTACGGTGATGCAACTAAATTGTGCCAATGATAGGAAATATCAGCAACAGAAACTTTGCGGCAACCGACACGTTTCTTGCTTCGCGGCCATCTCCCGCCAACACCCTCGCATCTCCAGGAGTTGATTTTTCATGTCGGAGATCTCGGCTTGTTGCTCTCGAAGAAGAATGGCCAAGTCTTCCTCGCGCAGCTGGTGCATTTCACGTTGTGTTTGCCGGTGAACTTGTCCTGCAATTTGACGAACTTCCCGCCGGCGAGCAGAAATTCGAAGAACGCTCCACGCGCCAGCGCCGTCGGACGCAGCAAACCACGAGAGGATGATCACCTTCGCACGGAATTCCAAAAACGCTCCACGCGCCAGCGGCGAGCGCGAACAGAATTCCGAGGACGCTCCACACACCAGCGCCTGCAGACGCCGCAAACCACGAGGGGGTGAACGCCGCCAGACACCGCAAACCACAAGAAGATGATCACCTTCGCACGGAATTCCAAAGACGCTCCACGCGCCAGCGCCGTCAGACGCCGCAAACCACGAGAGGGTCGTCAATTGCGAACAGAATTCCAAGGACGCTCCACGCG